GATGTCCTCAGATCTTATCTACAGAGAAAAGATTCTGAAACTGTAAAATTGTTTTAATTTTTTTTTTTCCTACAATTGGGACACTTGTCCCAAAGAGTTTTATAGACTGAAAATTATTTCGTCTTTTTTTTTTTTTTTTTTTTAATCACCAGAAGAGAACCTACAAAGTTACTTTGTAACTTGTTCCCAGCATTGCTGATTTGGGATAATGAACCTTTACAAATTAGCTTCCAACTAATGTTCTAACACACCGTCCTGAAGTCCCACTAATATTTGCATTCTCCTCTTCCTTGTACTTTCTATAAGAGTCTTGATCCTCTTGCTGTGTCATCTGGCCCAGGATTTATCATGTTGTGAAGGATTTCATAATTTTCAATCTGCTTAAGCTCGGGAAGGCCCGGCATTAATCCAGTGGAAAACAGGCTACATTGCAAATTGTGTTTGCCATCCAAGAGTGGTGCCCACTGAGTGAATTTGGAGATGCTGAAGCCTCTTTGCTATTGACCTATATACCGTTTCTGTGCATGACTGTTAATTTGTGTGTACCTTAATATTTTTTTAAGAAGCTATATTTTGTGTTTTAAATGGCCAAAAAGAATTTTCCGAGTTATGTAAATCAGGGCATATAACCTGGTCCTCTTTTCATAACAGGCTTTCAGAGCTGGCCATGAAATGGAACTATAATTCTGCCTCATTATGCAGAAAATATTAGTAATTTCATTGTGCTGGGCTTTTTCAGCAGGTATATTTAGCTTTGTTGTACTATAACATTTATTCTTTGTGTGCATGAGAACAACAATGAGGTGATGGCTCACCCCACCTCTTTTAAGGGTTCTTGAGATGAATACTTAGCTGTATTTTTAATAAGTTTTTTAACTGGAAGGTGCTTGGAGTACTCACAAACTGTTTTCTCTGAGAAATGCCTTCGAATTGTGGGAATTTTTTATCCTGTAGAGCCTTTTAAAACACAAATTTTTAAAATCTACATGATAGAGTGTAACTGACTGCTTTGTGAAAGTTACGTATAGAGAAACTGTTTTATATATTTCCTAGGGCAGTGCTTCTACTTTAAAATCTTTATTCACCCCTATGAGCTTAAGTCTAGTCTGTTTTGGACAAAAAATAGATAAGAAAAAGTTAGTGCATTTTACCTGTGGTTAGTATTTCCCAAAAGAAGTGGTTGTCTTTATGCAGTGATTTTGGGTGTTTGAACAGTCCTTTAGGGGAGGGATGCTGGTGTTGTGTCATGTTCACATGGTGAACAGGAATGGGTTTTTCTTTAGGAAACTACTTTTTGGTTAAGGCTGATTTTGATCTGCAGCATGTTTCTGCAGCAGACATATTTCTGTTAAATCAAGATACAAATGTGTTTCAGCAAATGAGTACACCAGCAAAGTGAAAATGTTGATTCTTTTAATATGAAAAAGATCATGAACTCCTCGCTCATGAGCCTTTTTCCTTTTCGTACCTGAACAAATCTTTCTTGTAGGAAAACTTTCATTTTGATTTTGACATATGCTTCTTACCCTGGCAAAACAAACATGCTAGATATCAGTTATATCTTGGTGAAACTTAATTTTTTTTTTTTTTTTTGGATAAGCATTTCCTTCAGTACAGTTGCTGCTGTTCGGACAATAAGAAGGACACTTCCACTCAGTGGAACATCGGCTCCTAGGAAGAGCATTATGCAGATGGCCTTCAGTTTGGCCTCTTTGTTCTCGCAGATCATTATTTGTTGTATAGATTGTTTCTGCCATGTGTTTATCCTGGTGTAATTTCTGACAGAGCTGCTGTTGTGCAGCAGGGCTGTGCACAGAGTGTTCATTCACGGGACAAGTCCCAGCTGTCAGTCGGTGGGGAAGGAGCTGCCCCCGTTCTGTAGACGCTGGTCTGGCAGCGCCCTCTCCGTGTCCAGAGGGGTTCTCATCCCTTGTTCTGTGATGTTTTCAGTAGTGCTGGTCGTGTTACCTGCAGTGTTCCTGGTACTCAGACCTCTGTACATGCATAACAGGGAGCTTCTCACCCAGGAAAAGAGAGTTTAAGAAGACAGGGCAGATGGTGCTGGTTGGCCATAGGGCATGACCAGCATTGGTGTGTAAGGGACTGGACCCTTTTATTTCCTTATTCCCCTGTTTTCCCACACTTGTGCTTCCTAAACCACATTGATTCCTCCCCTTCCTCTTCCCTAAATATTCCGTAGCAACTCTTACCATTCCAAGTTGTTCTTTCTTGTACCTCCCAGTAGATGTTCAGGCCCTGCATGCAGTAACAGCCCCTCCGTCTGAGGTGCTCTGAAGAGCTTTTCCATTTACTCACCCTCATGGCTCTCACCCGTTCTTGGACAGCCTGTATTTAGATTCTCACTCCCACAGCTGATCCTCTCTATGCCCTTGCATGTGAAGATGGGTCTCTGCAACATGACCTAAACATTTTTCACCTTGTTAAGCATATTGGCTGTAAGATTTTTTTCCATATGTTGTGGACAGCAACAAGAGAAATGCGCCTCGAGCGCTTTGTGTTGACTTGCACTCTCTGTATTGTGTTTCAGCAATTCCAGTTAAAGCATTAAAGGAATTTCAGTGCCAACAGCATTTCATCTCCCCTGTAATTCTACTGTTAAAGGGAAAAAACCATTTTTGTGAAATGCTGTCAAACCATAAGTGTTCTTATGTCCAAGAGTAAGATTCCTTACTGAGCAATGGGAACTGAAAGCTGATTATTACAATATCTTTGAATTTACTTTCCTTAAATCAGTATATTTCATGACAGGGCTTTAACTTTTGCTTGATTTCTTCTCTAGAGTCTAAAATTTGTTGGGCAGTCCTCAATCTATTTTAACATTCTAGATTTTTATTAAATGTTTACAAGTGTTTCTTTTTAAAATAAGCCTGCACCTTTAACGTAATAATATTAAATATGGCTATCCAAATTCGACCAAAGTGTCAGCTTGCCCTCAATTGTCTAAAGAGATGTAGGCATCCCTTTTCTTGTTTTCCCTCCCCAGAATTAACTGGTAAGATATTTGTTTAGAACACGTAACTTGCTGTTGTCAAAGTTTTCAGCAGGTGGAAAAATGAAGTGCAGCACATGTTGCTGCAAAAACCCAAGTATTTCTTCAGCTTCAGCAGATGTAGAGTGGGAAGAGTCAAGTAAATGAGAAATTGGTGTGATGAAATGAAATTTATGCCATATTTCAAATTTGACATCATTGGTTATGGTCTGAAGTGAAAACAAATGAAAACAGCAGTCATGAAGTGAAAACTACTGCCCCAAAGTGTTTGAAGGTTCTGGAGTTATTTTAGTAAAGTTTTGTGGGGCTCTTTTTTTTGTTTGTTTGCTTTAAGGGAGGGATGTCTTCCTCAAGCTTTTCTTCCTCCTATTGCCTCTTATACTTTGCCCACTTGTTTTCATGAATAATAAAAAGACGCCCCTGCTACAGACCATTAACTCTTGCTCAATTTTTTCTTGCATGTACTTTCTTCTGCACGTTAATGGCATTGACCTGTGTGGTTTATGCAGTGCTGGATACAGTTTGTTTGACTCTTGGCTCTGGCTGCCTGGAATCACTCGAATGCTGGTGTAGGAGAGGGAACACTCACAGTGATGGAGGAGCTGCTTAACCACCACCTTTACATTTCCGCTTGCATAGTTTCTAGAAAAACATCCCAATTTGGGTTAATAAATGCAGGAAGTAAGTTCAGTTATATGTTAACAGTCTAAGAAAAACAGAATAATGAAATTGTTGAGGTTGACTTTTTTTCCTGGCTTTTCACATTTGTTCTGTGATATGTAGTAAGTATTGTGGTACATGATGCCTGCAACTCAATACAGAGTCTGAATTTATAAATATTTTATGCTTTATTAAGTCACCAATCATGATTATCTGCTGATCTAATGGGTATACATCTGACTCTACACATCAGAACTTGCCCAAGCTAGTCCTGCAGGCCTGTGGGAAAATCTTAAAGGATTGTGTCAAAGATACACCACAAGCTTAAAAATAAATATTTGCTCCTCAAAAGGAATTAGCTTCTTTTCCAAGTTTGTTACTCACTGAGTCATGCTCTAATACACAATGCAGTGACCTCATCTTTACTGGATAGAGTTGAAGCTGTTGGAATCATGTGCATTAATTTCACCTCCATCAGATGAAAAAAAAATGCGGAAACATACACTTGTGTCCCTGTGCACACAAGGTTTTTTTTTTAAATTTTTGGTTTTTTTTTTTTTTAAAATCTAGAAAGCTTTTGCTCAGAACACAGTGTGTTTGTCATTAAAACAGGTGAAACCACTGTATGTAGAGTTGTGCCCAACTGTGCTTTTAAATTTATGTGGTAATGTCAGGAATGCAGCAGTTCAGTGTAAAGTAGTTCTAAACTCTAAGCAAATCCAAACTCTTTTAAGGTTCAGCAGATAAGCCTTTTATTTCAAATTTTTATTTGCTATAGATCACTTGTGTACACTCGTCATATGTTGCCTTTTTTGTGATGACTAAAAATTATTAAAAATAGCACTCAGGACTTTGGATTATCTAGGTTGTCAGCCAAATAATTTTTATGTATCTTAATTGTTGATTTTATATCTGAAAGTAATTACTGGTATAAAAACAGATCTTAATTTCTCAAAATTTAATACAATTCATTTACTCCGTGGTGTTTTAAACTTCTGTTCAGCCTGAAATAAGTGTGAGGTATAGGTTTTGTACTTGTATTCCATAGCTTGGACTGTAGGAAGAAAATCAATCAATAAATAAGATTTATTCAGAGAATCTATAAAAGCTTTATCTGAGTTTTTTCAAAATTATTGATCATGTTTTAGATCTGACTGATGAAGCTATGGTCCTGTAATACCTTATTTTATATGTGTAACTTTGTAGTAGCAATAGCTTTTTTTCAGGTTATCCCAATATCTGTCTGATTCTGTTAATCTCTGTGTAGAGGTTATTATCTAGAGCTGTACATTAAAGGCCTTGATGTTTTGGTTTTCTTGTGTGCTTTTAGGTGAGTTGTGTAACCTCATAACGCTGGATGTAGCGCACAATCAGCTTGAACATCTTCCTGAAGAGATTGGAAGCTGCACACAGATCACCAACCTTGATTTGCAGCACAATGAGCTCTTGGACCTGCCAGAAACCATAGGTATGTGTAGAGGCTGTAGAAGAGAAAATAAATCACTATTTCAAAATATTCAATAAGAGGAATAAATTTAAGAATGAGGACTTGGTTGGTGACTGTAGAGTGACTGGTGTTTAAGGCAGCTTCACGCTTGAGAGTAAAAGCAAAGTGTGCCTGTTACCTTAAATGTTACCTTAAATTGTCTAAGAGTGAGAGTACCAGGAAAAAAATCCATCTCTTCTAAATCCTAATGTGTTCTGTGGTTATACGTAAATGACTACTGGTTCTTTGTTCGTTCTGTAATAAAACAACATATAAAGAAATGAAATGCTTGAAGATGTAGTTGAAGTGTAATGCTTTGGCAGATAGTTTTAACATCTTTGGCTAAAAAAATAGAACTAAAATCATGAATGTTTTAAATTAATTATGTATATATTATGTTCTTTGGTAGAACATCTAAAAATCCTTCCAAGTCTACAAAGTTATATCATGCTGTAATGCTCTATAGAGTCTAGGAGGTTTACAACTTACATTGGGAATAATGGACTAAGCTAAACACTGTTTCAGAATCTGACATAGGATGAAGCAACAAAATATGACTTTTCCTATTTCACTAAGTCAATTTTAAACACAAGGCAGAAAAAGATGGCTGCTGTGATAAAAAAAGACAAAAAACAAGGCCATCATGATTTTAAGCTGTCTTTGTCACCAGAACATACTCAGAAGAGTGGATGTTATCAGTTAAACACTATTTAATGTTGAACATCTCATTAATGTACTTGAATGTATGGTAAAGTGAATGAGCAGAGCATGAGGAACCACTTAGCAACACTCCAGCTTTTCTTCTAGCAGTAAATTATTGAGTGTGGAGTTACTGTTGCTTTTAGTTGAGAAAGTTTGACCTGAACGCAGTTTTACATTGATGATACATCCACTGAAATTAAACTTTTTTCCTGGATTGATGGTATTTTCAAACTCTGGAGATCCCATTCCATCTGGAATTTGCATCTAACTTACACAGTTCATAAGCACAGCCTTTATTTTTGCAGCTATTTTGTAAATCTAATTGAAAGTTGTTTACATAAAATTTATTGTAGTGTTCGTGTCGTATTTAGAGAAGCAAGTTCTCTGGATAAACTACTAATTATGGGAAAAATTCTTTAAGCAAATGTGAGATTTCTGTTGTCAGGGATTAGAGATTACTGTTGTTGATTCTTGTGCATATAGTAGTACGATTTACTAAGTTGTTTAGTGACTGGCAGTCACTGATCTTCTCAGAGGACCAAAAAAAATCTCAGTTGTAATATGCCGCAAGACTGTGCTTACAGGGAAAGGTCTTTGGGTAGGAGAGGCAGTTAAGTAATTTGTTATGGATACAAAATTGCTCACTATGCAATCAAGATAGTTTGCACTCACCTATTTCTTCAGAAAGTTTTTGTAAGCTTAGGTGGTTTCTACTGAATCAGTTTCATACCTGGTTGGACTGGATTTTTGCCTATTTCCTTTGTTTTGTTTTTCCCTTGCATTGTCTTCATAGTGTTTCAAAGTTACTTGTTTTTAAATGTATGTAGCTGTCTCTTAACATGCTTATCTGAGCTGAATATCAATGCTTTAGAGCTCAACAAACCACCAAAGACAGCTGAATAAGAGTAAGAGACAGCAGTGAGCTGTGGTGTCATTAACCTTACCCTGGTTCAGTTTTTGCTCCATTGGAAAATACCTCTTGTAAAAAGTACACTGAAAAAAAGTTAAGTATTAAATGAAAACTTAAAATCAGAAATCAGTGTTTGTGCCACATGCAGTTCTTAAACAGAATTTAATACTGAAGGGAAAAACTTTAAGTTCCATCTTAAATGATAAGGATCAGCCTACATTTATGCATGTTGCAGAAAAGGCAGCCGTAGCCAGTTCAGCAACATTGGCTTTATTTCTTAGTCATCACAGTTTTGGTTCAACATATTAAAGCAAGTTGTGGCATGATTTTTAGATTACAGCCTGCTTTGTGGTTAGGATTGTTCAGCAAGAAACTTTGAGTACTGAGAAAAACCCAGCGAGTCACTGGTGCGTGGCCTCCTGCATGCGCAGCCGTGGGGTGGCCTTTCCAGCTTCTCCATCTCTCACTCCAGTTTCTCTCTTCCCTGCTTATGGATACCTACCTGGCTTTTGGCACAACTGGCTTTCCTTGCTGCATTTACACGCTTCCAAGTTTCAGGATGCTCACAGTATAAGTGCTGCTAATGTTTCCCCAGTTCAGTCAGACTGCTGGGGGGTTGCAGACCAGAGACAAAAAAGACCAAGTACATTTGCTCGTTATCAATATTTAATGTTCTGTGAGCCTATGAGCCTCCTGTTATGGACCAGGCTTTCCATTACTGCCAGTCTGTCCCCTCCTCCCCCACCAATACCCTTTTGATGGAGGCCTCTTTTTTTTTCTTGAGGGGGTGCTTTTGTCATGCTGCTTTGAAAATCAAACAACCCTTCTCTATTTCTCCCTCCCCACAAAAAGGACCCCTTGCTTCATCTCCCTCTTAAAGTCACTGCTGGACTAACTAACTGTCTGTGGTTTTGCCACAGAAAGATTTCTGCATCTGCCAAATGAAAAAAAAAAAAAAAAAGCTTGTTTTCTGATTAGCAGAGTGTACTGAAATGTGCAGGAGCTGAAGGGATGTTGAGGGTGACGTGCAGGGGAGTGGCAGGGAAGGGATTATGCATCAGCAATGATTACAGAGGTAGCAGAGCCAATATACCCACTCTGTAAAAATACCGAGTTCTTGTTTCAACTAATGCTGTAGAAGCACACTTTTGTGCAGTAACAAATGTCGATTTTAGATATTAGTTGTCAGGAAGTGACCTAATGTCTTGCTTTATAGATACTGGCTTAATACATTCATATCTGTATTTCTCTTGATTGAAAATTGTAAAGTACCTTTTATATTAGATCACTTCCTGTAAGAAAAATGAGCTTTGTGGAACTGCTTAGCACATTCCAAGAGTCTCAAGTCTAGAATCAAAATCATAGTGGGATCTTAGCTGTTTAGTTTTTTAGTTGTAGATTATGACCCCCTGTATTGTGGTTTTTTTTTTTTCCTTTTGATGGGTGGTGGAATTATTATGTACTTTTATTTACACAGTGTCTTATCTCTGTATACTTAGCTGGCACACTAATATTCCCAAAAGATATATAAAAGAAGGTGAAGAACATATCATTTATATTAAAGTTATTGGACTTCTGAGGCAGAAAACAAATTTTGGATTGAGTAAAATGTTTCTTAGGATTACAAGCTAGTTTAGATAATTTTGTTCTGCAAATACTTTATTGTGAGTGTTTCCTCTTTGAACTTTTAATTTTACCATTCTGTACAAATATGTTCACAATTTCTTACTTAAAAGAGCAGAAACACTAATTGAGAAGGAATTACAGCTTTGAAAAAAAAAAAAAAGATTCTTCATCTGCTTTGTAATTTTCTAGTTTTGTGTGTTTACATGTGCAGTTTGATTATAGTCAAATGTTCCATATTCACGGACATTTAAGGCAACAAACATTTTAATAAGAAAAAGAATAGTCAGTTGTAAATGTTCCAAAATTATACTTTAAAAGCACAAAAAATTCTGTCACTGGACACACTTTCCAGTCTCTGATGTAGCACTGTTCCTAAGAGATGGTTAGGAAAATGAGAGGCATATTTACAACACTGCACTACACTCCTGCCCTTTGCTGTGGCAGATCAGCTCAGAAGCGGAAAGCACAGCTCTCACGAAAGCAAATATTATGTGGAGTAGCTTTACCTTTTTTTGCTGGTTGAAACTGTGCTCCAGACTAGGCTTTTAACAAGTTTATCCCCAGTGTACCTCTGAGAGCACTGGAGTGCTTTTTAAACATACAGTTGATAGTACATGAAGCGTTGTTGACCAGAACCAGATGCATGTAATTGGTACGGCTCAGGTTGTACAAAATGTGGTTGAGAGCTCTAAGTCCCTAGAAGTAAAGATACTTCTGCAGAAATGTGGAACTGCTTTAAAATGGTATTTCAAATTGGGCAGGCTTAGCAAAAGCGAGAGTCTTATTCTGAAATGCCTGAGCGCCTGCAGCTCCTCAGTGCTCAGGGGCGACATTCATACATGACTGATGGGTTTGATGTTGTTAATTACCACTGTTGTGATGGAGCAGAGTGCACAGACTCCTGCTCCAGCTTTCATGGCAATATCCATATTCTTAACATTTGAGCACATGACCTCGTGCTGTGGTCTGTGAACACTCCGTATTTTCCATAGGCTCACATTGGGAGATCTGATCAGCGTTCAGTGCTTTGTCTGTGGTTTGTTCTTGGACTATGCTGTTAATGAATCATCTTTAATTGGATTCTGCTAGTATTGGGCAATTGCAATAAGCTCAGCCTTTTATTTATCTGAAAGCAGTGGCTCCCACTGTTATACTCTCATTTTGCTGTTATTATAAGTCTTGCCTAGTTCTCGTGGTGGTCTCAAAAGGAAAGAAACTTCTGGTTCTTGTTACCTTCAATTCTAGACTTAGTAGCTGTAAAGTAGCGAGATTGACTGGAAAACCGCAAGTGGCAGGAGAGGGTAAGTGGGAAGTGACTGCTCCCTGCATCCTCCAAGATTGGAAGGCAGGGATGGGGCAAAGCTGTGGGTTGTTGACCTCACACTGGTGAAAAGCAGAGCCTGCGATGAGTAGGGAACATCTGGGTCTTGGTGTTCGCACAGGTTGCTGTAGGTGATAAAAGCTCACGGGGTGATGTTGCAGTAATGCGGAAGAAAAGTATAACATTTGGGAAATTCTGAATTTTTAATTCTAAAGTTGGGAGGTCACTGACCCACATGCTGCTGAATCTTCCTCCAGCTCTTGAGGAAGTTTTGGGATGTCCTTTCCCCTTTCCTTAGGTTCTTCTCTTGGTATCTGGTGTTTGACAGCATTTTTTTTTTAACTGGAGGGAAGATACTAAGTGAAATGCTGGTCTACATACAATAATTCTCACATTCCTTAATTAGCTAAAATTATAAATGTA